CCTGTTGGCACCATGCCAGTTGCTGGCTTCATACAAAGTCTGTTTATGTTCCCACATCTCAGCTGCTTTGCCTGATTGATGGCTGGAAGGGTATTGGTCCAACAAATCCCACAGGATCTGGCCTGCAGCCAGAGATACACATCCTTCATCAGCCACATGCATCCAGTCTGGATACATCGTCCAATTGCTAACTCCAGGCAATTGGAACAAAGGATTGGGTTTAACTTTCCTGCTTGCAAGGCTTGCAAGCCACCCAGCCTCTTCCAGGCTTCTTTCTTTTCTTTCTTGAATTCTTAACCCCTTCCAATCATCTGGCTTGGCTGTGCACAGCCAGCAACAGCCAGCCTTGGTGTTGTGTTGGGGCACACCAAACCACTTGCAAAGGTGTTCCCAATCGCCTCTCAATTCAATCAAAGCTGCCCTTGCAGGCATTCTTTTTCCAGCAAAGCCATTCCTGGATTTCAAGCCTTCACAGGCTGCATCACACAATGCTTCAAAATTTGGCATGGGTGGGTCTGCCCCATGCAGCTTCCCTACCTCCTATTTGGTGATCCAGCCTTTGAGCTTGGTGCTCTCATTGCTCAGCCTTTCCAGGCTTCCCTTGCGCAATTCCTTCTTGCCTGCTTCTGGATCCAAAAGGAAAATGTTGTAAAAGAATTGCCTTTTAGCAAGCTGTCCTTTGACTGCTTTAAAGGAAACCTCAAAAGTTAGGAAGTTATAATTTCTGACTTTTTGTGGTGGGATTCCCAACCCTCCCCCCCAGCATTTGCGCGCTTTCAAAAAACACTGCTTCTTCAGTGAAGAGCTGGACACTACAGCCTTTTCCAGGCTTAAGCTTGAATCTACAGCCTTTCTCAGAGCTGAAAAATACAGCCTTTGTCAGGCTTGGGCTGAATTTTAAGCCTTGCTCAGGCTGAAGCTGTGGCTTCAGAGGCCATTGCAGAATCTCCATCAGGAGGGGGATCCTTCTTGCCACCCCCTCCCTCAGCCCTCCTTGGCATCCCTTGTCTTTTTCTTTGTCTTTTTCTTTTTCCTTTTCTTGGTTTTGGAGTCAGCCTTTTCAGGCTCACCCTTTTCAGGCTCATCCTTTTCATGCTCCACAGCCTTCTCAGGCTTTTTCATTGCATGACCGCTCAAATCACCTTGTTCAGCTCCGGCAGGGGTGCCCTTCCAAACCCTTCTAATGGGTGTTAGGCTCCTTGTTTCAACTGCTTTTGTCACCCCCACACGCTTTTGCGCACTCAGCCAGCAAACCTCCAGCCAGCACACTTTCAACCAAGTACAAAAAGTCAAGCAGCCTTCTCAGGCTTACATACACTTCTGCTACCTACTCTATCAAAGCATCTACCAAAACTGCCAAAGAGCCTTTTCATGGTTTAAGCAATTCATTTTTGTGTTTCACAAGTGTCTCTTTTGTCCAGCCTCCTTGGCAGGATTTTTCTATCAGCTGATCCATGACTTCTTCTTGCTGCTTCCCTTTGGAAAGCTCCACATTGACAAGGCAATTGGGTTTTCCAGCCATGTCTGGCTTTGCTTGGATGTAAGCTTTCTTGGCAGCCCTGGTTTCCTTTACAAACCCAAAGCTTTCGGAAGCAAGCTAAGTTCTGCCTTTAGCCTTTGCAGGCTCTCCACCAGCCTCTTCCTCATTTGCTTCAGCCTTTGCAGGCTTTCCCTTTGCAAGCTGTTTCCTTGCCTTTGCCTTGCTGCCTGCTGGCCTTTTGGTAGCAGGTTTTTTGGAAGCACCAGCCTTTGCAGGCTTCTTCACAATTGGTTCTTCCACTTCCTCAACCTCTGACAGCTCTGATGCATGGACAATGCCAGAGCTTGACACTGAAACCAGACTTTGGGTATCTGCGCTCTGCCCAGATCCACTCTTCTCAGAGCTGTAAACCTGATAGCCTTCACAGGCTTCACGGGCTTGCTTTCTAGTGCCTTTGCGCAAGCCTTTGCAGGCTGGCTTCCCTTTGCTTCAGGTGACTGCTTCCCAAACATCCTTTTTGCAGGCTCAGTGCTACTGCTGCTACCGCTCCCAGCCTTTTTCAGGCTTGGCACTTCTTCCCTAAAAATCATTTGCAAAAGTGTTTTCAGCGCAGGGTCGGTTTTCTCACCAGTTTTCATGTTGCTCTTTTTTCTTGAGCCAGGTTTTGTATTCATGTAAACTGTTCACAATTTGCTTGATTTCAGAGCCTTTGAGATTTGGACAGGCTTCTTTCAAAGCCAGCCTCTCTTCAGGCTTCTTGTTTCTGCTGGCCCCATACCACAGAGTCAGGAAAGAATTGAGCCTTTTGCAGGCTTGGAATGGGTCTGCTGGAAAATCGCCCACAGTGCAGC